TATACGCTATTAAGTTAGACTTTTTCTAGATTATATTCTTATAGCTAGGTAGAGTACGTATTAGTAAGGCTTTATAATATTATCTACTCTAAGTATATACGCTATATACTTCTCTATAAGAATATATAATTTACTTAGTATTCTTAGTTTTACTATATAGTTTTTAATACTATTATACGTATATAAATTAATACTTAAGCTAGCTTCTTTATTAATACTCTATATTCTTAGAATAAAAAGTTAACTATAGAGTAGCTACGCAACGCCTTTAATAACAATAGTAATAAATTACGTTAGATTCTTAACTCTATTACTTACTATTCTACTAGCCTAGTTAGTACTTAGCTTTATTAGAGTAGGTAGATAAAAGTACTTAAGTCTATAATTTAATAGCTAAGTTACTTTAGTTTCTTTCTTACGCTATTAGCTATAGATATATACTAGAATAGTCTAATAAAGCTATTCTCTAATTATAAGGCCTAGCTTTTAGCTAATTAAACTTAGTAAGTTTATTTAGCCTATAATAATCTTTAAGACAACCTCTATATTATAGTATATTACTTCTATTACTATTTGTAAGTCTTTTAGAAGAAGGTACTTAATATTAAGTTTAATATTAAGAATTTCTAGTATTACTTTAAATAGTAGTTTTATAGTAGTATATATAATTATAGTCTTTTTTAGATAGATAGTTTACCTTTAATTAAGACTCTTACTATTAGTAAGCTAGCCTATAATACATTTACTAAGTTCTAGAGCATTTACGTTACTATAATTAACCTAGAGCCTAACTCTAGCGTCTAGCCTACTACTTTAGATTCTATAATTTAAACCTCTAGGCTTAAGCTTATAAATAGTAGCTATATATTATCTAATATAGTTAATTAAGTCTAAGGCTACGCTTATAATATACTTTACTATTAATATAAGAATAAGAGTATAGATTTAATAAAGTATTAATTTAGGTTTCTATATAATAAGTATAATAAAGCTTATATTACTAAGTACCTAAATTACTTCTATTAATACTTCTTTCTAGCGCGCAATAATTCTCTTATAAATAAGTATAACTAACTAGTTATAATAAGCTAGTAGGTAAATACTAATATATTACTCTATACTAGTATTACTACTATTATAGAGTATGTTATTAAGTATACTTCTAAACTAGAGTAGGCTTTACTTTCTTACTATAAGCTTATATAGGCGATTATTTCTTTTATAAATAAGGTAAGACCTTTCTAGTCTCTAGTAATAAAGCTTATAAATAAGCTACTTAGTAAGTATAATTACTCTACTTAGAAGGTATGTTATTAGCTTCTTAGCCTCTTTCTTAAGTAGGTATCTTAGACCTCTATATATATAGATATATACCTATTAAACTAATAGTCTAGAATAACTTAAATTAAAGATAGTAAAGTGCGTTAAGGTTTTACTATTATAGAGTATTACATGCAACGCTCTAACTCTCTTAATAATATTAATCTTCTTATATTTCTACGTATATATAAATATTAGGCGCTATATAATATCTAACTATAAGGTAAAGCTTATATTATTAACTACTTTTCTTAGTATTCTCTAATAGACGTTAAGAATTATAGGTAATTAAAGCTTATGTTATATTACTCTTTTAAGGCTATTAAAGATTTTCTATTTATTAAAAGCACTTATAATAAGTCTTATAGTAACTTCTTTAAAGCCTATAAAGTATACTATAAGTGTTGTAATTATAAGGCTAATAGCTTTAATAATATACTACTAGATCTAGAAGAGTCTGTCTATAAACCTACTTAGAAGAACCTAGATAATATAGTATTAAATAATATAAATGCTAACTAGAGTAAGCTTATATAATAGCTTCTAAACTAAACTAGTGCTAATAGTAATATATAAAATTAACTTAGATACTATCTTAAGAATTATATAGATTAGAGTAACTAAGTAGGTAAGTATTCTAACCTTCTAATTAATTAGTAGAAGAGTATAAAGGTAGACTACCTAGCTCTATCTTTAGTATTATTTATAACGTTATATATAAACTTTAAACTTAAGTAGAGACTACTATATAATACTATTCTTAATTACTATAAGAGCTCTACTATAGGTATAAAACTAGCCTAGTTACTTCTATATTTAGATAGTAAGGCTAGTACTAGTAAGATAACTATTATTTAGACTCTATATAATACTGTTAATAATATAGCTTAAGACTATTTACGTCTATCTTCTATTCTTTAAGTAGCGTCTACTAGTATAGCTACTTATAACTTTAGTAGTAGTACTTTATATTTACTATTTTGCTTTAACATTAAGAGTAAGTCTTATTAGAAGCTATTCTCTATATACCTATAAGCGCTTTAGAATAAGTTTAGAGATATAGAGTATTTTATTATTAATAAGAAGTCTATAGTTAGTATTTATATACTAACTTAGATTTATCTACGTCTTAAAGAGATTTTTTCTAGAAATACTATATAGTATTTCTCTAGCGTTTCTATTATTCTTACTAGTAACTTCTTCTAGCTTTCTTCTATTATAGAGAAGGCTATTTATAACACTAGTAAGCTACTCTCTAAATTAAGTAATATTACTCTTAGTAAGTCTCTCTATAAGAAGTTTAACTATATAATTATACTAGATATTATTAAGCGCTAGACTAGTAATAATACTAAGTTATAAGTCTTTTAGCTTACTCTTAATAACCTTTATATAAATAAAGTTAGTTACTAGAATTAGATACTACTTACTAGTTATATATATATTAAGCTTTAGGCTAGTAAAGACCTAACTTATTTTAAGAATATAATATAGATCTTTATATATAAGAATAATATTAAAGTATATAACTACTACTATATAGCTTAACTAAAGCGCGCTGTATTGCTTATTAAGGCGTCTTATACTAGTAGAGTTCTAGTAGAGACTACTAGTACTAATAAAGCTAGAAATCTCTATAGTCTAATATCTATATCTATTAACGCTTGTATTATACTGTAGAATAACTTTTAGATTAATTATTAGTTATTTTATAGCTCTATAGCTACTATTTATAATATAGTTTAGCTTATTAGTACTAATTATAATATTAACCTACTCTTTACGCTCTTAGTTAACTTTAATAAGTATAATTAGAACGCTCTCTATATTTTAAAGAACTCTAAGACTAGTTAATTATTAGTTCTAATCTTCTACGTAAAGTGTAACTAGGTAAAGTTAACTATTACTTATATATAAACGTAGTTTTTTATTACTATTATATACGCTATTACTATCTATAAGAGCTAAGGTCTCTCTATTACTACTACTATACTTAACCTAAAAAAGAAGTAGAACTTTTTACTTAGTTTTACCTATGTTACTATCTTACGTATTAGAACTCTAGATAGTTTTCTATTTAAGAAGCTATTTAACTTAAAGTAGCTTAAGTTTAAAACTATAAATACTACTATTATATAAGCGCGTAATCTTACTATTTATAAGAGTTAAGAGATTTCTCTACCTCTCTAGTATAGTAATAATAGAGAAGATAATAACTTACTAGTATTTTCTACCTCTTAATATAGTTATATAAGCTAAATATTAATTCTACTATTACTATCTAATTCTATTATTTCTTCTAGAGAGTTATACTCTATAATTATAGTGCCTTCTAGAGCTACTAGTAGTATTATCTTTTCTAATATTTCTGCGCCTTTACCTACTTCTCTGCTTAGACTACTACTACTTTATTATATTAATTAGCTTTTACTACGTAACTTAGCTTAGTATAATAACTTTAATAAAGCGTAAGTAAGCTAAAGTAATAATAGTATAAGCTAGTTTAAGTGTATTACTTCTACTCTCTTCTATAACTGCAACTCTATACCTATTACTTATTAAGCCTTCTCTAGTATTAATATATATATCTAGTATAACTATAGACTTACTATAGATAACTTATAACGCTAGATATAGTACATAAATAGCTAAAGTTATAATATAGTAAGGTTAGAGATAGACTTAGTTAAGAATACGTTCTACAACTTATATAAGAATATAATATAATTAAAAGATACTATAAAGAATAGTAACACAAAGAATAGTAATATAAAGAAAAATACTATTAGATACTTAAGTAGGCTTCTACTTATTAATATTTATATTAACTAGTTATGTAGACCTACAGGTAGATAATAAATATTTACTTCTATTAAACTACTAGACTTTTACCTTCGCGCTGTAGGCCTCTTAGCAACTAGAGTCTAGAATAAAGTAGCTAAAGCTATACTTCTTTAGTGCTATTTACAAACTAATAGACTATTTTAATAGTAATAGTAAGGCTATAAGTAGTAGTAGTAATAGTAGAGATTATAGTAATAATATAAGTTAAGATTACTATCTCTAGAGCTTCTATAGCGTTAACTATAGCTTTAATTTACTACTCTATAGCTATAGGTTACTTAAATAAGTATAAATATAATATATAAGTAGTTTAGATAACTATACTATAGTTTAAGCTATATTATATTTATAACTATATATATAATACTAATAATTAAGCTATACGTACTTTATAATAGCCTTAAAAGTACTGTATTACGTTACGTTAGACACGCTGCTTGTCCTTAGTGTAGAGATATAGAAGGATGGGAAGACGTATACGAGACGTTATCCGCGAACCTGGCTGCATTTATAGCGTCGCTACCTGGCAGTTCAGTCCTTGACGTGAGTAAATTTAACCTTGATATAGCCGAACTTTGCTAACGAAACATACAGCTGCCAGCAAGCACGCTGTCATTGAAGTCCTCCTAAGCTTTAATGTATCTTCACGAGCTCGGAGCTAGTTGTTCGGAAGATCTTGACACGTGACGAATAGGCGGTTATGGGCAGTGATAGACGGCCGTGTGGTCGGGAGAGCGCTTTCAGGATCTGTATTTTCTGGCTCTTCTCCATTATTATCGTACAATACCATCTCCTCACCCCAGCCATCTTCTTCACCAACGACTCAGACATGAACCTCACGCCCTAGGCTCCTTCCCACCAATCTGATCACTCTCCCTAACAAAACCCCCCTTACCCTGCCCCGGCCGAATGACCTGTCCCTGATTCTCCTGCTCAGCCGCCCACTTCTTCAGCGTATCCAACCCCACACTTTTCAACGCGCTCTCATGCGTCGATTCCAACTTAACCTTCGGCACCTCACCAATCCCCTTATCCGCAGCGCTCTTCCACGACGAAGCTTCGAGGCAGTATCTTTGTCCTGGTCCCACACCGGCTTTTCGCAGGTCGGTACCGTTTGAGGTGGAGAAGTCTAGGAAGCTGTTGGTGAGGATGGCGGCGATGGGGTTGCTGCTTGTGCACATTCCGGCGTTGATGGTGGAGGGGAGGTTGGAGGGGGTTTTGGCTTCGGCGGAGTGCTTGTGGAGGGGTGCGTTGAGGACTGTGCTGTGTTAGCTAGTTGATCATGATGGAAGTGTAGAGATGGGTTGACGTGCCGTTCTTTTGAGTGACGTCCATTTTTCCTTGTTGGTTCTTGCCTGACATCTTGAAGGATTGTGGATTGAGGTTCGTGAGATTACAAGAGTTTAGTATATGGTTGTGAAGTTGAAAGATTGCTTGATGCTGGCGTGGAGTTGGAGATTTGGTGAATGCTGGAATTGGTATGCAGTTCTCAGATGTAAGTAACAATACGATACGCTTGACGTCAATCGACGCCTTTGTTCCTGCATTTCTACGCTTTACTCGCTTCGCTCAAGGCACGATCCAACAATGATGCCTCCATTACCTCCTCTGATGAATGTCTTGACGTCAGCGATATCTAAGCGTCAGAGCGTATTTTGACGTCGAAGCATCGTTCCATTCAAATAGTAGATGCATAGGTAAAGACAGACTTCCTTTTTTAGAGCTGGCCGCCTGGACAGATGTAGTCGCATACTGTGGTAGGAGATTCCTTCCTCAGACACCCTTTCAACACAACCCATGAGTTAGCGCTAGTCCCAATCGATACTAGCGTCATCTTCTCCATCCCCGACCGTGCGCATGCATACACACCCACCTTGCACTGCATTTCGAACCACCACACCACCCGTGGTAGTACTGCATACGCATTTATTCACCCACCTCCCCATGGTCACACCGCTCCTCCAAATTCTGGGTCCTTCTCCCTCGTCACTTCGGCCGCGCAACACGATACTTGGCAAGCATCACACTGTTACAAGTCGGCCTTTCGCAACCACCGACATGCCGACAGCAGCCCTGTGCACTCGCCCAAACGCTCACTCCCTCACTGAACCATGGCCATCGGCCAAATGCAGAACTAGCACACAGCGTCGCACACGTGTTCAAATGCCATGGCTTCCGTCACCGAACGCGAAAGTGACGGAGACCCAAGTCAGCCAGTCCTGTTCGCTTTTCACCGAGGACAGGCCGCCGCATGATGGCAAGTGCCACGCCGTCATTTGCCTCATGAACTTAACAGATTAGCCACGGCTAGATGAATCGATTATGAGTGGAGACGACGGCTCCATCTGAGTCGTTTGGGAAATGACGTCGACCTCGTCATTTCATCGTGCCGCGTTCTATTGCCAATTCCTCATCTCGCGACGGGCGTTTGGCGAACACGTAGTAGTCCGCCGGCAGTTTAGCGAAGAGAATCAGTAACGGTGTGGGAGGGTACAGGGCACATGCCTGCCCTAGCACTTCAAACCCCTCAAGGGAAGGAAGAACGCATAGCCAGTTGAACGCAGATACAGGTCGATCGCAAACGTAGTGCATTGCCTTGCGGAAAGAAGAATGCAAAAAACAAAACCTATAACGGCGGTCACGAACGACGATCTTGCGGCATTGATGCGCATGTAGTGTACTCCTATGTGCGAAAAACGCAAATGTTCGCATGATCGCACTTGCTGAGATGTCAATTGCGGGGGAAATCACTGCAAGAGCTAAATTCACTTGCATGAAGTAGAAGGAAGAAACGCAGGTTGACGTCGCGGATGGCTGCATGCCAATCTAGGCCCTTAGGCACGACGATCCGGGGAAATGCGCGGGTACGATGGTGTTGGAGTGCATTCGACCAACGCGTGATTGGAACGTGTTTACATGAATTATCTGTCTATCAATGCATTCGAACTTGCTAGGCTGATATCGATGTCCAATCATGCCTTGTATGCGCAAGAATGGAGCCTCAAAGCCTCTTCTCCCTCAGACACTTCTTGTTAAGAAACGCTAATCCTCCGTGTATCATGTACCTTGCTTCAGCGCATCGGAGAAGGTTGATCTGTTGTCCAGCCACGTCGACCAAGAAAGAACCGAACAGGCCTGCAGCCTACATTGACATGAAAAACTACAAGAAAGGTGCAGCCACAGCGGACATCTAGCCTTGCAGCCTCTGCCGAATCTCAGCGACGACGTTCCGTATGCGCGGCTCCTTGACCTTTTGCTCGGCGCGGGTGATGGCATCGCCTATCTGTAGTATGTCCCTACCAGCCTCGCAGAAGTCAGGACCTAAGCAAAGCAAAGTACCTGTAGCCACAAGCGCGCGATATACAGCCTCGGAATCGGTAGCTGTGGTGAGGATTTTGGACAGATCGTCGAGCAAAGAAAGCGCACGATCCGCGTTGTTCTCGGAATTCAGTAATACTGAGTAGTTGATGTAGAGTGTAGTGAGCGCGATGATCAAGTTTCGGTTCGTCGATGCTAGGAAGGGCGAGACCAGTGGATGGATGTTGTCGAACTCTGTGCTGGCAAGTAATCGTCCCTTTTCTGTTTGGAGCAGATTGCTGAGACATCGTATAGCCATCATTGTGTTGTTGGGCGGGGAGGTTTCCGTGAAAACCCCTGATTCAATAAGGTTTGGTAACAGACTTTGCTCAGGCGACACTAGGAAGGCTGCCGGCTCCTCGAAAGCAAGGACAAGCCGTAGCAAATCTAGGGCGGGCAGACGCTTCTCTGCGGGCCATTGTGTTGCGGCTTTGACAAGGAGCTCCACGCCTGTAATGTCGATGCCCTTGCCATTTCCCTGCTCCAATGCCGTCACGGTCGCATTCAGCTGCTCCACGTCGGGCGGATTCAGCGAAATGCCCTTCTGTCCATCGGCCACAAGGGCTCCATTGAACTCGGTAAGTTTCTTGAAAATGATCTTGTGGTTTCCTGTCGTGATGGGCAGGTAATCCTTTTGCGGGAGTATCTTAGCGGCCGGAGGTGCGGGTGGAGGCTGGGTCGCGACTTGATTGGCGTCGCCGGGCCGATACCGTGCTTCTGAGCCCCACGGGTCCGTTCCCTGCGCACTACCCTGCCCTAGCGTAGCACCCTGTGTGTTCTGAATAATGAAGTTCGCGACTTGGTCGAGGTACGTGAGCGGGAGCTCGTTGTCTTCGATGAACTTGCGCGCAGCTTCGTAGTGGTTCTGGTTGAGGTTGTAGGGTAGCTTTAGCGGAGGCTTGCCATCTTCGATATCGACATCGAAAACATAGTCGTACTCTTTGCCAGCGTGCGAGATCTTGCGTCCGCCGCTGCCCGCCGAGTCGACAACAGTGCCAACGTTTACCCACTGATTGGCGGCTGCAGACCACTGGTATGCGGACACGTTGCCGTTCATCTCCTTGATCATCTGAACCTGGCCCTCCTTGGTGCCGGAACGTTGTGTAAGGAACTCAGGGCCGGGCAATTGCTCCTTGTTGATGTCTCCCACCGTTTGCTGTGGTATCGAAGAGCCCTTGACGTCGTCGTTAAATTGCTGGATCTCGGTTTCAGCAGCGTAGCGGGACTGGTCACGGGTAAAGACGCGCGCAAGCTTATCGCTCGCGCCAGTGACGATGTCGCCATTCTCGCCGCATACAGCTACTGTCCATACGGAGATAGCTGGGTGGGTGATGGTCTGGATGCACTGGTTGTTTTCCCATATGCGCACCGTCCGGTCTTCGCCGGCACTCACCAGACCGCCATTGGGAAGAACGGCAAGGGAATAGATGAAGTTCTCGTGACCGTGCAGCTCAGCCACCTGTTGTCCGTTGAGTGTCCATAACCGGATGACGGCGTCGTTGCCAGCGGAAGCGAACTGGGCTCCAGAGGGATGATCCGGGGGCAATCGGCAGAGAGCGCGCACGACTTCAGGTGCTTGTATCGACCGCACGGGGGACGTGGAGCCTGAGGTGTGGAATATGCGGATTTGCTTGTCTGCACAGCCGGTGATGATAGTGTCGCTGTCGTAGGCGAGGACGGCCCATACAGAGGCTGTGTGGCCCTGCAGCACTGTAGATTCGCCCCACTTGCCTACTTCCCATAGCCGTGCCTCCATGTCCCAGCTGCCGCTGACAATGTATTTTCCGTCCTCACTGACATCCAGCGCGCACACATTGTTGCCATGTCCAATCAGAAGAGCGTCGGCATCGTCGTCGAGGTTCTTGCTCGGCCGCCGTACGTCGATGATTTGGTCCTTGCCGCCTGATACGACCAGGCCTTCGGGGAAAGAGGACGAGGGTGGAACGATAGCGAGGGAGTTGACGAACTCTTTGCCGTGTGTCTTGATAGTGCTGTCCCATATCGGTGGGCTCTGTGACTGCTGTGCCCAGACTCGTACTGTGAAGTCTCTCGACGCAGAGACAATGGACGAGGGGGATGGGAATGCTACGCTGCGGACCTATTGGTGATGTTAGTCGTTGTCCTGCATAGTCTAGTACTTTGCTGGTATCTATAGTAAAATATGTACGAACATCGTCTTCGTGGCCGCGCAGAGTGGCTGATAACTTGAAGTCGGCCATAGTTGGGCCAGGGCGGGGTTGCTGGCTGGTGGTGGTGGTTGGCTTAGCAATAGAAGGAAGAAGGAAATAAACTCTATATCGCAGTGAGAGACGCGCACATAAAGCTCAAGGTGAGTGAACTCGTCGAAATTGCGACTGTCTGACGTTGTGAGCGTTTACAGCGAGTTGCTTGTCCCAGAGCTCGGTGATTGTCGACGTCAGCCTTTCGCGAGACAACCGAAGCACCCATGTCACTTTCTCATTATGTCAGCCTCGCGTGCTCCATCGCGCCTGCCTATTGTGAATCCTTCCATCTCCAACGCAACACCATGCATACGCTTGACGATGCTCTCTAGGGCTCTCTTTTCTTTTTTACACACAGACACTAGTCAGCATCTCACGTGTCGCTTGGCCTCAGGTACTCGTACGAGTGGCTTGCGGCTGAGCACCTACCCAGGTGCTCTACGGAGCCAATAGCGCCAGCCTCAGCTTTCGCATGTCTGGTCATACGCATCTAGGCTAACGCCCATCTCATCGCGATCTTAAATTTACTACCATCGGCCTGGTACGTGGTCGCCGCGGTCAACGTCGCTTCCGCGTTGCTGCCACGGGAGGCTGAGTCTCAGCTTTCGGCGTCCGCGCAGCGTCTGGCTAGACAGCTTGTTCAACACCGCCAACCCTCTCGTGTATGCTCACACAGTCTGGCCTCGATGATTCCCAATTGCTCATTCCAGGACGGAGTCTTTGGGGTCGCAGCAACGCATTGACTGTCATCTGTCATTCTACGCATGCAAAGATCTACCATCGGAGACATGTCGGCTTTCGAAACCGGGGTACGTCCAAACATGCTTTCCTAAAGGCATGTTGAGACGAGAATGTGTAGCAACCCTTACAGTTTCCTAGGAGAAGCACAACATTCGTTCGTGATCCCGCGTTGCGCTCTTTGGTACGCATCCCAAAGAAGCACGGATCGTCGGCGGTGGGCCCAGAACCTCCCCCACCAGATTTCCTGCCAAACGTCAAAGTCTTGGTCGTTCGGTCGTGGTGCAACACCGGCTTGAGGTTTCCCATGCCATCGTAGCCCTGCCCCCCACACATCCTGGACGGAATCCTCCGCCCCGCCTCTTGGCCGCCCGTCCCCATAACGGAGCGCGGCCTTCGCGTTTCGCCGACCGTCTGGAGTCCGTCAGTACCAACGGTAGCTTTTCATGCGCAGGGCAAATGATTTCCCTGGTTTCCCGGACTTCCCTGGTCAGTTGACTCTAGCTGCTCTGCTTTGCCGCTTATTTGACACCCTGCGCCTCGCATCCACCATGGCTCGCGTTCGGCATTGTGCTGCAGCCACTAGAGCCTTAGCTCTTCGCGTGACATTGCTTACCCTGCCTTTCCACGATGCGCCTGCAGAAGACCGCCCTGTTTGTTCTAGCCCAGCCCGCGCTACACTTGCGCCAAGCCACTGAGTCCTCTGGACGAAGCGATGCGTGTCAGCTCAAATCTTGCGCTGCTGGCGAGCGATGGGACACCCTGTGACTTGTCTAGATGCGGTCCATGCAACCGCCCATGTCACTGAATTTGAATGCGCCGTCCAGGAGTGACGCCAGCGTGCCATGGCTGGAGACGGCTGCATGCCTACAAGAGCGCCAGTAGCCCTCCCTTCTTGCCTTACACTGCGCTTTCACCTCGATCTACATTACCCAACTACACTCTATACAAGCATTAAGCAATCAGCAATCTCGGCACATATACAACCATCTGAATCGCCAACAGCATAAATTTGCCTGTTTCCGGCGATCTCGGTACCCTTGACTCAGCCTATCCAGTCTCTCGGATTCGCGCGGCGCCTCCGTGATCAGCGCTCGAACCCTACGTACCCCTACGCGTTCTTGCGTAAGGACGAAATCGTCACACCTGTGGCCGTTGTCCTTTTGTTTTTAACGGCAGGGTCCTACGAGCATCTGCCTCAAGAAGCCTTCCTCCGCCCGCCAAACCTTTCGAGTATCAGCAACAACCTTCTCACACTCCTACCTTGACTCTCACACAACATCTCCACACAATGGACGCACCAATGATCGAGCTCAAGTCGGCCCTGGCCTCGTAAGTTACATCCTTCTGTCCCCCCAACCCAGCTAAGTCTGTTAGACTATTTGCATGCGGACAATACTCAGATCTGACCATCGTTTGTGGTGCCAAAAGATACCCAGTACACCGTATCCTCCTCGCAACAAGATCCACCTTCTTCGAGGGAGCCTGCCGCAATGGCTTCAGGGAAGCAGAAACCGGAGTGGTTGATCTCAGCGAAGATGACGCAGAAGCTGTTGAACACATGGTGCACTGTACGTATTGCTTGAGGCGATGGGACCCTAGACTGTGCTAAAGCTTTCTAGACTTCTACCACATGGACTACCTCACCAAGAAGTCGCTCTCGCGCCGATCCTCACAACGATCGAACCGACCTACCTCTCTACGATCATCGATTACCAAGAGGAGAAGCCCTCCAAAGAAGCTGAACCTGGTCCAAGTCGAAGACCCGCTCCTTGCACTTATGGCAGCAACCAACAACTCAATGCCGCTGACTCCTCCCGCCGACGAGCCCATGTTTCAAAGCATCGATGCATCTTCCAAGCTGCCCGACACGCCGATGGCCGATCAATTTTTCGAGGATGACGATTTGGAAAGCGAGCAATCAGAGACCGAGTTCGACATTGAGACGACACACCTCATCACACATGCCAAGGTCTACGCCATCGCTGAGAAGTAAGTACTACCATTTCCTAGTCATTGTTTACTTTTCTACGTTTTGCCTGAATGCGCGCCGCGATTTGCGGGGTTGCTTCATCTGCGCCTGCAGCTCTACCTCCCATGACTGGGGTGTGCAGCGCGTGGCACGGCGGTTGAAACGCCGACAAGCTCCGCCATATGCGTCACCGGCACTCTACCTCGCCAATCGCACTCCGCGCTGCACACCCCACTGTACCTTTGCATACACACAGCCCTTTCGTCTGTTTTTCTTGTGTACGATTTCAAGATGCGCCAATTACCTACTATGGTCCTTGGGCCTTCATGGCTGCATCTTCGAAACAGTCCGCGTCAGCGTACTACTACTATCTCTCCAATCACGCACCCATCTTTCATCACACCTCCTTTGGGACTTGCTTGCTAACGGTTTATGGCAGGTACGGCATTGCAGGCTTGAAAGCGCTTGCGCGTAGCAAATTTGCAGAGGAGGTTGACCTGCACCTCAGCAGTGCCGACTTCCCAGAGGCCTGCCAAGAGGCGTACGAGTCTACCTTCCACACTGATCGTGGTCTGCGAGACGTCATTATCCAGACCTTCCGGGCCAACCCCAGCCTGTCGCTACGCCCCGATGTCGAAATGGCCGTGCGAGAAACACCAGGTCTTGCTTTCGAACTCTTCCGCATGGCAAGCGGACTTCCCGTCTCTTCCTGAAGGGTACTCCGTTGCAGTCGTTCCCGCATCGAGCGAATCATCGCTGTCCCGCAGTCAGCTCCAGTATCTGCACCGCTGCTGCAAGCATACGACTCAACTCTATGTTGAATCTCGTCATCTATCTGTGTAGAATCCTACGCGCGTCCAAGACCGGGATTATCCTGCGGGTGGTACGCAGCCGCCACACAAAACGTCTGTCTTGGCTAAGACAACGTGTTTCACGACAGTGCTGCAGTCAACCGTCGACGTGATGCGGGGTCAGCATGTCTTACCAACCTTATCGAGCCGCGCATCCGCGCAGTTCAACGTCACACCCGGTGTGCTTGAGCCAATGGCCTACTGACTCTGCTCATTGGCAGTTTGTTTCTTTCTTTCTCGAGAACTTTTGTAGTACTTTTAGCGATACCAATGAGCGATCTTGTATTATTCTCTCCATAGTTCTATCATCATGAATACATCCATTGTAGCATTTGCTCTACCCCGATCTTAAGATCAGTCATATCACTGTGCATTAATACCCAATGTCTAGGCGCCAATGCTTCCGAGGGGCAAACACCACAAAGATACGTCATCTCGTCTTATGAGTTTTGCCATGTCGATAGCGTTTGCTACACTACTATTTTCATCTACACGGAATTGCCAACCGCCGCGCACGTGCTTTACATCATAATGATAGAATTGCCAAAGAATAGCCTTTACTACGGCCCGCAACGTGGTCTACATAAGAGCCGAAGATCGCGCATTAGCCACCACGTGAGGTGTTGCCCACTTCTTCCCTTTCCCGCGATGTATACAAGCCATACCCAGAGATCTACAAAACGTTTTCGGTCCGTTCCTCCTCCGATCTTGCCTGCACCTGCAGAGGGTGGGGACGATCTAAACTGCTTACTGATCTGTGCCATGTGGCTTTGAAATCAGACGCGCGATAGAGATTTATAGTGTTCGTGCGAGCTGTTTGTCCGGATATCTATGATCAATGCTTGCAGTGTAAGACGGAGGAGAGAGGGTTGTTGGTTGCTGTGGTGGCTTTTGCGAAAAGGTCATTGGTAGGCATGGGTGGCATGTGTACGCGTTAAACTTTAGGTTTTTCTCGAATGTTCTGCGCATACATCACGGAATTTTTTGAGCTGAACGCTCGAGCGGTACGTGGAAGCTTGGAGTAGATACTTTGACATACGCCGATATGGATAGCGCGATCCGCTTGTGCGGGCGCTGTAAAGCAGTGTATGCTTTGCAGGCTTAGTACATGTTTGCTCGCTATTGTATATTCGCCAATGACAGTATAGTGTGAAGGATAAGCTACTACGATTATCTTCACTATTAGGAAACCTTCGAGGGCAATGACACTGGTCACCTGCAGCGGTGGATTGGGTGCCGTATGGTCATTCCGATGAAGAGCGCAACGAGCAGGCGCTTTGGTCGGTAGAGATAAGAGAGAATGGAAGCAATGGTGTTGGTGCCTAGATATCAAAGAGATACGAAAAGTACTGGAAAAGTACTGGAGATGGTAGTCGGACCCATCGAGTATCGTAAAATCCCATTACCGTTGCCCTTCTTTGCGATTCAACATAAAGTCGTGAGGTGAGTATATGTTCGTTCGGTAGGCCTCGAATGTTAGACCACGTGTGTACCGAGAGTGACATGCGACAATGGCCGTGTTGGCAGTGAGATGTGCTCTTGCGGTATCGGAGTCGACGCGCCGTTTGCGTGCAATCATGCTCATCGTTCATCCCTCATCGCGCCCTTCCACTTTGCGATTTTTTGTATCCAACGCTGCAAACTCTTCACAAGCACGACACCATCGCCATCTCTTGTGAGAACCTTGCCTGCTTGACCAACCTCAGCCATGACCGATAACCTCAACCCACCGTCAATCGAAATGAATGCTCCAGAGGGGACTCCAATGCTAACAAATTCGTGTGTAGATGAACCGACCGTCGCTGACTCGTTTCCGTTGAAGAGGCTCCCCGACGAGCTCCTCCTCCATGTCGTCGCTCAAGTCCCCGAAGTCGATCTCCATAACCTTAGCTTGGCTGCCAGACATATCGGCTCCATGGCACAAGAGGCACTCCATCGATACCCCACGATCTCTTACACCGACAATGCCATGCCGCGACAAATTGCCCGACTGGCTCGCACCCTCTTCAGTCGTCCTGACCTAGCACGCGCAGTAGCCCAGCTCACACTGCGGCCCATCGTCCATCTTGTCGAGATTCCATTCACCACACTGTCCGCGGCTGACAATCCAGTACTCCAGTGCTTCTTCCAGCACACGCGCGTGTATATGGGCGAGACACAGATTGTAGCACTCCTCCTTGCTTCTCTTCCGAACTTGAAAGAGCTCGATCTGCAAATCATCTTCAACGGTAGCCTGCATGAGCTTGACAGCGGTCGTTATGGCCATGCATGTAGCGTACAGTGCAGGCTCCCAGACAAGGCTGAGTCACACCCCCTCGACGTCGCCATGAACCCAGGATTGAAGAAGCTCCGTAAACTGCATCTGCATGCTCGTCATATCAGCTGGGACTGGCTCGCCTTGCCTTGCCTGAAAGCCATTACCCTTGGCCTTCACTGTAGCGTCGACTGGGATACTGCATCAGCAGGTGTTTCCAGGGTCGAAGAACTGGTGCTGAACCTGACCACCGAGGTCTTTCTTGACGACGACCGGAGATACAAAGATCTACCCAAACTCTTTCAGCGAATGCCCTTCCTGCGGTCGCTCACTATCAACATAAGCAACAAGTGCTTAGCTCCAGGGCCAAATCAGATCGAGGCTAATATTCTTGAGGATGATGCACGGGGGAACATGGGGTTCCTCATCGAAATCAGGCCGCAGTATCACAGACACTAGAAGTGCTGTGCATTAAGAAAGCCGGCACAGATCCGGATTGCTTCAAGTACCTGGAGCCGGTAACAAGCCTGGTCCACTTCAACCAAATGAAGTACCTTCAAATACCCATTGAAGGAGTTTTGGAGCGGGGCCTGGTGTCGAGGAAGAGAATTGGAGAGATACTGCCAGACAGGCTTGAACAGTTGCGCCTATCAGGCCTATCTGTAGAAGCCATGAAGAGGTTGGAAGATGTGTCCTCGGAAGATGGTAGTCTGGCGTTCCCGGTCTTGTCGGAATGATAGATAATGGATCGACCGGCGATAGATACGTAGAAGACATAAAGACTAATAGATCAGTACACCAGATGGCCGGGAGGTTGTCAAAGTAGAGATGTTGATCATGCGCATCCGTGATAATGGGCTGGGGTCATCCAGGCTCCGGTTTTGTCGACGGCGTCATCGTGCGGAAAGGTCGTGAATGCCTCTTGAGTAGGCTGAGAGTTTCTGTCGGGAACGCAGAAAAGGTTCGGTATCTGACCGGCGGGGCACAGTATGATATAAGACGGTGTTGGTCTTGGGGACCCGACGACGCCCTAGCGCTAGCGTGGTTCGCGCTGACACCTGCATGCATTAATTCTCCGGACCCGAATAGCTTCACGTTGCGTCATCGGGGGTGCGATGTTTTACTCCCTGCGCAGCACTGCTGCATATGGTAAAGTTTGGAGAGCACATCTATCGCTTATCTGTTCAAGAAGGGGTTGCTGGCGAGCCACATTCGTGCCCATGCGTCGCGTCGGCGTAATCTCACGATGGACGCGCGCAACGCGTCGCTCCTCCATCAAGAACCTCAGATTCAACCTCACCGATGTGTAAAATGCCCTTCAGCTGTCCGCCTCACATCCTCAGGTACGTTTTCCGCACTGCACTAACGCGCCCGTCGCAGTATTCGTATCCAGCTCTGACATGATTTAGGGCCTACAAGAATGGCGATTTCACCGACTTAGTTATCAGCTGCGGCAACTCGACATTCGATGTGCATTCCGTTGTTGTTGGCTCAGCATGCGAGTTCTTCGCGAATAATATCAAATTCAATGGAAAGGTAAGTCCGTACCTAGGTAGCGTTTCGCGCCAACCTCCCGTGTTGACATTGGAGCAGGAAGCTGATGAACGACGTATCGATCTGCCGGACGACGACCCAGAAATGATCCGACGCTTAATCGCTTACCTGTATCTGGGTGACTACGATCCCACCGACGACGATGGCATCGCCGCGTTCGAACAACTCAAGCAATATGACCTGAACACAGCAGCGGCGCCCGCTCACCACCCCCGTAGATACGTATTCGGAAGCTCTCAGCGTCATGATCAATGCGCTTGCCTCGCGTTGAACCTCAGGAATATCGAGCAGTCGGAAATGAAAACAGAGCAGCAGAAGAAAGCATCGCACTACGTCAGCCACCGAAAACCCGACAACAGCATCGAAATCACGAACCCGCTGACAATACACGCGAGCATGTATGCGCTCGCTGATAAATATCAGGTGAAGGGGCTGAGCCGACTGGCAAAAACCAAGTTCCGGGATAGTCTGGATCACCACGTTGATTCTGAAGACTTCATCGCCGCAGTACAACTTACGTATAGCAACACCCCAGAGACCAACCGCGGTCTTCGAGACGAGATAGTGCAGGCTTTCCGGACATATTTCAAGGTGGACATCACCGAGTTGCCCGGGCTGGAATCCAAGCTAGACACCATTGATGAGCTGGCTTTTCTACTTCTCAAATCCTGGCCCAGGAAGATGGAATCTGCAAGCCCTCAGAAGTTTGTCTCGTCTGCAGGTGCCGCGAACACGGCTTCTCATCTGGTTATTACCGCTGGTCCGCCCACCTCTGGTACCAACGCGACTTCCGCTTCTTCCAACGCTCCTGTAACGACCACTGGGTTTGCCTCTTATGCTCGTACATCAGCGGCCACTACCTCTAGTACTCCAGCTACCGGAAGCTTGTTTGGAAGCCTCCCCCCACGTACTTCGGGTGGATTCGCAAGCTTCTCGTCAACACCCATTAGTACTGGTAACGCGGGATCAAGTCAACCAACTCTTCCTTTCGGATCTCCAGCGTAACGGGTTTTCCTGCTGTGATACTCAGTTGAGCCTTTTTGCCCTGTCTTACTATATTGCATACAGCCTTTTTCTTCAGTTTCTGGACTTTCATTCAGTGACGTTCCTTCGCGACTTCCTCTTCATTCTTCGCACCCGCGCGATGTCCCAACCTCCCATTATTCGCGGCAATCACTCCACCGCCACCGACCTGACAGTACCGATACCTTCCACATACCTTTTTAGATCACCGAGCACACTTTCTCGCCGTATGCGACGGCTGCGCGAAGCTAAAAGCTCTACCCTTGTCATGTCTTTCTCTTGTACTTCCCCCCGTCATCGACCAGCGCGAAAACCCGGAGAACTGCAATTCGCACCGCTGCATCCATCGATTTTGGTCTCTTTTTGGAATCACACATAATATATACGCATCTCTTGCATTGGTTTCACCATGTCGACTTCGAACACAGACGCCGATGTCGCCTTGCCGCATGCCTCGTTGCTCGCATACTTCCGTGACTCTGCAGCTGTTCAAAAAGCGACAGATACCGGTATTCTATCCAGTGACAACAGCCGTGGTACCAACGCGCATCAACTGCCCCATCCCCCCATCGATGACGACGACGACGAAGAGTCAAGACTAGGCTTCTGGGGCGAAGTGGATGGAGCTGACACCTCGTCTGGATCATACTCATTCTCCGAAAGCAGATCAGCTTGGAAAGGAGCAGCCGCTTTCTGCTATCTCTGGTGTGCGTTCTCGGTCATTATCCTCGGCGCCTTTGGTCTCTATTTCACGGTCGACCTTGCCTTCAGCCACTATGGACTGGGTACTGGGATGGCGGAGTGGGTCATGTACAGACAACAGCTCCCATCGAGCAACATCCGTGGCGTGAGTCACTCACAAGACAAGAGTGGTGTCTATGAGCAGCGTACTGATGATTAGCGTGCCTTAGATAAGGTTCTGCCTTGAGACTCCGAACCGCGAAGCACCTGGCCCGCAGGCCTGGCACTACCTGAAAGCAAGCACCGGCGACCGTTGCACGACTGATACCATCGATTTCATTCTCAACTCAAAGGAAGCATGGAAGGTTCAGCCAGAGGCAATCCTGCTCCTGAGGGACGACGCATCATACCTGGATCAGCATGGACAGAGCCGGGCACCCGCTATCTCCCGAGAAGAACCACAAGCTCCTAAGCTGGGTGACGATGTTGCAGAAGAGGGTCACTTGGGCCGAACAGTTTGAGAGGTCACATGGAAGCTATCACAAGCACTTGGTGAATGACACTTGCATTCATTTTCTAGTATACTCCATTCGCCACATTGGTTATTTGGCATCTTGTAATAAATCCTTGTCCATTCCCTCCGCCTAACAGTTCCCATTGATGATAGTAACATCGCCGCTGCGAGAACGTACACTAATAGTGAAGTCCTCAAACGGTCGAGTTATGATCTACTTGTCTGGATTGAGTGACGCAGAGGTCTTCAGATTCGCGATCCGTGTCTTCTGATACCATTCCTTTGCGTGTGAGGCGAATGAAATGCGGAAAGTGTGGCTAGCTTGCCGTTTCTGGGTTGCCTCTGAGTCATTGGTGAATGGCACAAGTGGTGGAAAGACTTCTTCGTCATCGAAAGGTGGTACTACCGCCTCATCAGCGCGTGCCCATATCCGATAAGCTAGCGGGTCTTCCTCTTCGGCTACTGTGTCGCATATGGCGCGCTCGGCAGAAGGACCTTGCAGGATCACTTCGTAGTGCATCTCGCGACCCGTGATCCAATCGCTGTACTTTTCGTACATCGTGACGCGCTGGTCATCTTGGGCGTCAAAGATCAAATACACGGCTTTCAGATCCTCGAAGAAGTGGTGAGCTTTGTTGAGCGCGTCGAGCCAAGCAAAGGCCCGTACGCTTGGGTGGAGAAGCTCAAGCACCTGGATACTAGCAGGAAGAAGCTTGCAAGGATTCGGAAAACCATCGCCAAGAAGTAGATCCTGTGGTATAGTAAGAGTCTCCAGCTGCTTGAAGAAAGCAAAGGTAGGGACCGGTCCCATCCACTTCAAGAACTCTTGGTCGAAGCTATCGTACGCATCCACTGAGAGGGTTTTGAGGCTAGACGCAACCCGGGAAAGGCAGTACATCATCCTATTATACTTAGCACGCCTAGTGTCTGTAAGGATAGGCCGGACAATGGAGAAGCCGCCAGTCGAGTGGAAGTTGGTGAGCTGAATGGAGAGATGTTCCAACCATGGGAACGATGAGCCCGAAAGAAAACCGGAATGGAGCGCGCCGTTGCGATCGACTTCCATTGCTACACAGCTAGCGAGCTCAAGTTGAAGAGTATCGACAGCAGGAGCGACGAATGAAGCGGGGACTGTGCATTCTCGCGCGACCTCTAAGCACTGTAGCTTCGGCAGAGTACACCAATTCTTGTCAAGACGGCTGCCGAAGAACCGCAAAGTTTCGAGTTTCTTGAGACCACAGATCTGGGTCAAATCCAAAGCTGATCCGTTGACACGTTGCCCAATGCTTGTGTTCACGATACCCTTCATTAGATAGGACATGATCGAATCGGTGGGTTTGGGTTTTAGAAATTCCAAGAGATAGTGCCCAGGCTTTCCAAAGAGTTTGTGGAGAGGGTGCTCCGCGTAACGTTGATGGGACCATACAATGCGTTCGTTGTACTCCACATCGTCGGCCGTTACACGAAAGTCAGGCATAGTGGCAAGGATCTCTATCTCCAGCTCGACCAGATTTGGAAGTAAAGCGAGAATGAGACCACCACAAGCTTTGCCGTCGCCAGAAAGCAAGCGCGCTTTCCAGTCTGGCACACGGATGGCCCAATCAGGGCCTTTCCTACCCATGTCGTCGATCACTCGTAGTGCTTTAGCCTTGTCGTCAGAGTTCCATTTGGGAGGCGACGTTGCCTGCTGTCTTATAAGACTCATCGAGAGCTTGCGAACGCTAGATGCTAGCTCAGGCCGGTGGAGAAGCGAAAGCGCAAAGGAGAAGACTTGTTCGACCGCGCAGTGGTAGCTTCCCGAGTAACGCTCGTTAAGGGTAAGGTTGGTGTAGAGCTTCTCATTCGCGATACGTCGCAGCTGGTGCGTCGCGAGGGAAATATGAGCGAGGTCGCGTGGTTTCATATATCCCGTGATATCATCGAGCAGCTCCTCTGGTAAACAGGACAATGCTGCCATGTTCGTCGAAGGAGACATATCCGCGTCAGAAGGTGAAGTAAGCTTTGCTTCGGTTTCGTGGTGCTGCATCTTGGTGGGGTTGAAATTTGGATCAAGTTGAGAGAGCGTAATGGATGAGAAGTAGTGGGGAATAGAAATGGGCTCGCAAATTTATATGAGTGAGGAATGTTCACCCAGACGTACAACCTTGTGGCCCGAGTCAATTCACTTATCTGCGAACGCCTAGGCTTCCATCGCTTTCATTGTTGTCGCCACTTTCGTCGCCACTGTCTCAAGACCTTCTTCGCCCGGCTGTACCTCATATTATAAGGCTACCGCTAGGCTGCGCGTTGTGCAGCAGCTTCCTTGATAGCCTTCTCTAAATGGATGCGCTCCGAGCTTTTTCTACCATCAGGATAGACGTAATTGTCAATAGCAGACTACTTTGACGTAAGTAAAATATTGACCAGCTACAACGAACTGTATTTACCTGAGCATACGCTTCGGCGGCGATCTCGACTTGCCAAGTGACGTCTTCATCCTCGTGACGGATCCAGCCCGCTCCCCCACGGTACCAGCCCTTGTCAATCAAGTAGTCAAGCTCTTTAGAAATGACTTTCGTAGTTGACCCATTCTTCTTCAGATGATTGTAGGTTGGCAGTATGACCTCTAGGAAATTAAGATTGATGCGATCCTTGTCAAGCTCTTTCGCATCCCATCGGCCAAATGGTGTAACCATGAGCAATGTAACTTCCGGAGGTCTGGCAAATACAAGACTCTGGATGAAAGCGATGTCGCGACGAAAATTGCTGTATACACCGTGTTCCCTCCATTTGAAGTCCGGGCCTGGTTCATGAGGCGTATCGGGGCACGAACGGACATCTCAACCAGCTCTCTCGAGGAAGTCTTCAAATCGTATATAGATTACGATATTCCGGACGTGATCTTTGGGAACAGACCCGCACGGGAAAGGTGTGTTGATAAATCCGTTCATAAATCGTGCATCGCGGAAGTGAAGTACGTTCATCTCGAGGAAGGCCTCTGTGACTTCCTGAGCCATCTGAGAACCAAATAGCTTGGGATCAAATATGTAACGTTCTCTGATAGCTGCCAGTCGACGATTTACGATCGCTTTCTTCTCGTCTTGATCTGGTATATCAGGCCAGGATGTCTCCTCTATAGCGACCAGATTCACCACGTCTGCTGTATCGTGTTCATGAAAGAAGTCGTGGGTGAAATCTGGTATGTGAACACCGTCTTTCTCTACGCATAGGAACTCGTAGATTGAGAGGCGCAACTCGGCAACGCCACCTAGAGCATTCAGCAAATTCTTTGCGAGTTTTCTAAATCCATCAGCTTCATGTTTCATGATTCGAGAGTCTATCTCTCTGTCTCTAGTCAGTGACTACTGCTTCTTGAAGCTATGATGCTTACTTGTCGAGCCGCCTGATCTCAGCCCTTATCTCATCTATTACGTCGTCTGGGTACTCGACGTCCTTTTCACCCGAGTCAATTTGGTCACATTCAACTTCCTTCGCTTCTATCTGCTTGTATAGCCTGAACGCGATGAGCACTGGTGGAGTTTATCGAGTGTTCATTAGCAACTTACTTCGAAACCTCTGGCCATGCCGGATGGGTAGCTGAGGAACGGCAGTTTACCGGTCCTCCCTGTGAGCTCGTCATTGCAATGCTCTTTTGATGGATGTCCGATCCAAATGTAATCTTGACGCCGCGAGACGGGTGTCTTCAGCTGGAGTTCCCGTAGGTTCTGGTCCGAGCTTTTGCATTACGTAATTGACGTAAGTGGGGTTATGTGGGGTGGCTTGCTCCCTCACCCATCCCATCATCCCAACAACGGGTCGAGCTCACACCAATACTATTACCGTCTGGTTCATAGCGCGACAACTGATCATCTACGCGCGGCGTAAACTGAAGACGTGATTGTGAGTCTACGAAACCGAACTGCATAGGATGCCATGCTCACCAGAAGCAGGCCTATAGGGGATGATTGGAGTTAAACAGCATCGCGGATTACAAAAACACATCGCATAAATTACAAGCATATACCAATTGATATCATGAGGAAATTGGATTATCATTAATGTCTATCGTGATCTTCTATGAATCATGTAGGAGCTCGATGACAAAGTCAAGTAAGTCCGTTATTCGTAGCCATATGTGCGGCTATCATGTCGTAAACGCTTAAGCAGGAGGAGAGGTGGGCTCAGGAACGCCGGGAGGGCAGTGCCAGTGGTCGTCGTGAGGCTCGCAGGCCTCAGCGGGGGCAGCAGCGGCAGATGAGGTGGCTGTAGCAGAGGCAGAGGCAGGAGCAGCAGATGCGGAGGCGGTGGCGGAAGCAGTGCTGGTGGCAGCAGCGGAAGACTCTTCCTCAATAGGGGTGTAAGTACCAGGGCAGCCAACACCGGGAACGACGATGTCATGGGCGTAAGCCTCAAGAGCAAAGTACTGGAGAGTGTCGCTGTTCCTCGCGGCGTAGGTAGCGTTGTTCTTGGCAAGGGCGAGGGTTCCGGGGTACTTCTCCTCTTCCTCGTCGTTGTAGTGCTCGACGACTCCCTCGCCAACTTGGGGAAGGTGGAGAACACGGTGAAGAAGGTCGGAAGCCCAGAAAGTGTTGGTAGCGCCGTTGGCGACGTCGTATCCGAGCATGCACATGGTGGAAAGAGGCCTGCGGATCTCGTAGGACAAGTCGCAGATGACAGTCTCGGAAGTCGCGTTGGAGCCGCGCCAGTGACCGGCCCAACCCTCCTGGTTGCAGTTGCCGTCAACGTTGTCGCAGCGGAAGAGGATGCCAGACTTGTCACCGTCGGCAATCTTGGTGAACCAACCAAGAGGCTCACCAGTGGGAGCGTCGCCAAAGTACTTGGTGTAGACCTCGGAGTTGTTGCCGAAGCGGAGAATGTGGTCGCGGGCATGGCTGACGATGGTCATTGTCTCATCGAGTCCCTTCTGGATCATGCTACGCTGGGTAGCATTGCAAGAAGCGTGAATGGGGAACTGGTGAACAGCACCGGCATCCCAAGCTGTGGCAGCAGGAGCAGCCTCGGCGGTGTGGGTGACGGTGACGGTAGCCTGGCGAAGGGCAAGAGGTCCGGCCATGGCGGCGGAAGCTCCAAGGAGCATGAGAGCAGAGGCACGAGCAGCCATTTTGAGATTGATCTGAGAGACTTTGAAGAGGTCTTGGAAGTTGATATGCGAACCGGAGTTCAGTGAGTGTCCCGAGAAGCTGGTTGCCGGATGCTTGATGGAGAAACTTGCAGACGAGCTGCAGGCCTCTTTATATTCTACCAGAATGACATCTCACCACTGAGGACTGTTCCTCTCGGTGCTCATGTACCGACGTCTCCGCAACCTTGACCGCCGAGACGTGAAGAAAAAACGCCTCATGGCTGCAGCCGCAGGTACATCAACCGGTATACTGCCGGTCTACGACCTATCTGGAGATGCAAATGCTACACTACACGGATCTGGAGGCTGATCTATACCTTGGCCTGACGTACAATTCGAATGGTTGAGCTTGGCATGGAGGTGCATGGGGGCCTGGACGACATGTTTTCCACTCAGAGGGTGGATTTATGGGTATGTAAGTACCATGATGGGCGCCCAATGGCGAGAAATTCTCCCACCCAGGAACATGTTGTCGGGAGGATTACCTGCGTTCGGGAAGGCCGAGGACATTAATGTGGGTGGTCGCTGAGTTCCGAAGCGGCCTCCCACGCGATATGTCATGTCGAGAGCGAAGCAAGGTAGAAGTACGACGATTATCGAGTCACTGGTTTCCAACGGGGCTGATAGTTATGCAACCTGTTGCCCTGTACAACTCTTAGGCAGCCCGAACAATTCTTACTAGAAACGAGAAGACGACTGCCATATTTTGAGCTCTGGATGTTGCATGACGAAGAACAATATCAACCTCAACGCTTGTAGATTCATCGGAATGTTGGAGTTGTCAGACCTGGTGTTAGTGCTATGCGCCGAAGAGCCTCCTAGCTGTGGAGGTCACGGCTACTACGATGCATCCCCAACATACCTCGCCAAGACCTCCGCCACCTAAATAATTGCGCTATCCCACCCACCTACTGCATTTGTAGCAAATCCGCCTACCTAAAAGCAAAGACTCGGTTCGTGTCGCCTCTGATTCGACGTTTGCTCCGAGACAAGACTTATGCCAAGGTAAACCATCCAACACGGTACTCAATGCCAAGACCGCCCGTGGCGCTCTGTGTGAAGCAATGGCAAGCCCTAGAGACAAATGGATACCGAAGAATTCTTCGCGGCATCCTTGTGGGGGGCTGCCTTGCCCCATCACGGTACATGCGTTCCACTCCGCTGACACGACGAAAAGCTTGAACGAAGTCGATATATCAAGGGCCTGAGCTGGTATCACCTTGAACAGCTTTACACCCGTCGGTTCGCTCGTTAAACATATCCGGTAGACCCTGAACATTCCTTCAGCCATGCGCTCTACCCTCTCTGCTGCAGTCCTACTGCTTGCGGGCTCTGCTGCTGCGCAAACACCCACCGTCACTGTCACTCAAGCTGGCGCGACTACCACCGTCTTCACTACCGGAACTCCGTCTATCACGGCTGTGTCATCATGCCATCCTCATAACACTGTTCTGTATGTTTTCCCGTTGTCAACTTTGGCTGGTAGAGTTTGGCGCTAACTTGCAACAGCTATTGCATGTTCGGTTCAGATGAGTACCAGGTGGTCGGGCCCACTGCGACGGAAGAGTTCCAAGCAGAGTACACGCAATGTCACAAGCACCAAACCGACACGTAGGATCCACTCATCACTATGTTCGACGAAATGCTGACGTCAACAGATACTGTGTCGACGATGCCGGCGAAGATGTCCTGCTCATGACCGAGGCTGAAGAATCGACAGAAGGCTCCTCGCATACGGGTGAAGAGTCAGCTGCTGAAAGTGATCCAGCAGGGAGCAAGGGACATTGTCACGACCACGCCGGTGTTGAGCACTGCGTTGGTGGAAGCGAATCCGAAGTCAACTGCGATGCTCCCCAGCGCGACTACAACATCCCCCTACGAGTCGGTCTGCTCTTCGTCATTCTCTTTACTAGTGGACTTGGTGTGTTTACCCCCGTCTTGACCCGGAAGTTCAACCTCGTTGGCGCCAACAACATCGTCTTCGTTGTCCTCAAGCAGTTTGGAACCGGTATCGTCATCTCCACCGCCTTCGTCCATCTCTTCACCCATGCCCAGCTCATGTTCGCAAACCAATGTCTGGGTGTTCTGGAGTACGAGGCCACCACCGCTGCCATATTCATGGCTGGGTTGATGCTGTCCTTCCTGGTCGACTACCTCGGTGCGCGCTTTGTCCAGTGGCGCCAGGGAAAACACACTGCTCCCAGCACCGAGGTGGCAGCTAGTGGGGACAAATCCGGAAACAGCTCTCCTTCGGCAGAGCCTACTCATGACTTCAACCGCAGTCATGGAATTGTTCATGCCCATGGCCCTATGCGCGAGGCTACCCCCATGGAGGAGAAGATCAACGTAATGAACCTAGAGGCAGGTATCATCTTCCACTCCATCCTCATCGGTATCACCCTTGTCGTCGCAAGCGATGGATTCTTCATCACCCTCTTCATCGTTATCCTCTTCCATCAAATGTTCGAAGGCATTGCTCTTGGAACCTGCATCGCTGAGCTCCCCAAAGCTGCTGCTGGTACAGCACAGAAGCTCCTCATGTGTGGAACCTTTGCGCTTATCACGCCCATCGGCATGGCCATCGGTATCGGAACGCTAGACCACTTCAACGGCAACGACCCTAGCACCATCATCGCCATTGGAACGCTCGATGCACTTTCCGCTGGTATCTTGACTTGGGTTGGACTTGTGGAGATGTTGGCGAGAGACTGGATGCATGGAAAACTGCTCAACGCGGGTGCTGCGAGGACCATCAGCGCATTGTTCGCACTCATTTGCGGTCTTGTCCTCATGAGTGTTCTGGGCAAGTGGGCTTGATCAATTCGTTCTGGAGGAGTGTAAGACTGTACGATGCTGAATAATGACTTTACGGTTCCATATTGGGATGAGTGTTTGGGCTCTTATTTAGACCGGATCATAGTTTGGACTGTCACTTAGCTTATACCCTTAATGCCAATCCTATAGAAGAATGCACCTATTCCATGATAGTGCTCCTCATACTCTGCTTTCCAAAACTATCCCACACTTCCGCTCTCCATCCTCCGGGTGTTGGATCGTGCTCCAGTAATATTCGATACGGCTCATCGACGTATAGCGGGCTCATAGCACGATACGCTATGGACTTGGGTACTGCGTCTGTATCCCCATTCTTGCTCGTATCTCGCCAAAAGTCCAGCATATTGATGAGGTTGAGCGGCCCATGTACAACAGCATTCCTGTGACCCTCAACTTCTCTACACCACTCAGGCAGGTAGTGTATCTTATGCGCATTGAACGTCAGCGCCGAGAAGCGAAACAACGAAGTAGGCGTTTGGCAAAAATCTCTTCGGTGCTTTCCAGTAGGTAGCTCTTTCTCTTCTGGCTTTGGTGGTGCTTTCATCGGATTCTCAGGTGTAAGCTCACGCTGAAATACCCAATTACGGCGGTCCGTTAATGCGATAC